TATTCTTTTGATCCTTTGCTATGATAAACTCATGAGATCAGCCATTATGAAAACCACGGTGACTACTAATTTTCTTCCTGCAAGCTGCTTTCAGCAGGATTATTTCTTATAAAGCTGAAATAAAAAGACTTGGGGAGTCAGAAAAGTATGACTTTATGACAGTAAATAAGAAACTGTCCTAAAACAAAAGAAGTTTTTATTAGTGACATTTTAAAACATGACTTTGAAGATTATAGATATGCCCACTCCGGACTCCTAATTCTTTATTAAAAGGTTTCTGTATTCAAGGTTTTGAGGCGTTGACTAATTATTTCATCTTTGCAATACCACTGAGAAATAGGCAAACAAGTCAAATGGGAATTAAGTATATTTTGGATTATAATTCCTGTGTTATTAAAAAAGAATTAGCAGAGATTGTGATAATTAGTGTGAAAATGGATAGCAATTAACATAGGAAAAATATGTAAAGAAGGCAAGAAGAGGTGTAGACACACTCAGAAATCTAGGAGTATGACCTGAACGAGTCTGATAGTCTGTTGCCCCCAGAAATTGTAATAGTATATGTTTTGGGAAAGCATGATGTGGCCTTAAGGCACAGTCATATATGGATGTAGGTGCCATAAATTTACTGCAAACCACCTGGACTCTGTACACTTTGACCAAGTCTTCAAAAAATGTTTCATAATTTTATTTTCTACCATATGAAGACGTAATACTTCTTTTGTTTGTCTCAAAGTTACCATTCCCCCTTCTTTCAAATAGCTAACTCTTTTCCATAGATTTTAAGAAAGTAGTTAGCAAATTCAGTTGATTTTATTTATGCCTTTTATGTTCTTTAATATTTTACTTCAGAGTTTTTATTTTCTATTTTGTCAAGACTCTTAATCCATTTGTTGGGTCTTCCCACCACCATTTTCTTGAATATTTCTTTTTCTTTCATGTTAAATATTTTTTAAGGATGAAATCCAAGAGCACATAATGTTTAAGCTGTAGTAAATACACCATTGCTTCAGTATTACATTTCTTTTCTTTTTTCTTTTTTTTTTTTTTTTTGAGATAGAGTCTTGCTCTGTCGCCGAGTTTGGGGTGCAGTGGCACGATCTCAGCTCACTGCAAGCTCCGCCTCCCAGGTTCACGCCATTCTCCTGCCTCAGCCTCCGGAGTAGCTGGGACTACAAGTGCCCACCACCACGCCCAGCTAATTTTTTGTGTTTTTAGTAGAGATGGGGTTTCACTGTGTTAGCCAGGATGGTCTCAATCTCCTGACCTCGTGATCCGGCACCTCAGCCTCCCAAAGCGCTGTGATTTTTTCATTGACATTGCTTTTTATGACAATGCCCATGGTTCTGTTAGCCACTTTGGTTGCAGAAGAGTCCTTTGTTTTATATACTATTTGGGGTCATTTATTATTTAATTAAAGGATGCATAACTAATTAGTGACACAGCAAGTTTTCTTACTCACAGCTATCCAAAATGGCCCTTCTTCCTGCATTCATAATCTCAATTGGTGACACTGTGGTTCACCAGTCAATCAGCTAGAAATCTTAGAAATCTGTGCTTGACTCCAGATGTCTCTCACTCACTCCAAATTTTTAAGTCCAATTAATCACAAAGTCCTTCCTGTAGGATTAGAAAGATGAATGTCCCAGCCTCCTGACCTCCGGTTAAATGATTCTGAGGCATGTTTTTGTTTTGTTTTGTTTTGTTTTGTTTTTTTCTCTACTGTTGCTCAGTCCATGGGGACTGAGGCCCAATCGGTTATAATGATAACATGTCCAATATTATACCTGCTATTGTTTTTTTTTCCTTTTTCCTTGTCTCACTTTTCCTAGTTCCTTGAGCAAGTGTCATCTGGGATCACCTTCCAAATAAACTGTCTGCCCCTAAGTCCTTAAATCAAGATTGGCTTTAGGGGTAATCCAAGCTAAGCCAAGGCTTGAAGAATATGGAAGCCATGACTGACCAAGATTGAGAGAATATTGTCATCAGAAGGGATGTCACATATCTGTACCACAGACAAGAGCTAAGGGTAGCAAGTGCAAGGAACTAAAAGATGTTGCCTATGGCTGACTGGAGCAGAGAGTATGAGGGCGAAAGTTGTCAAATAGCAGGGACTAGTTCATGGTGTGCCCTAGAACTCACGTTCACCTTGTTGGCATGACTCTCAGTGAGAATGGAATTCTAGATTGAATGATTTCAAGTGGGGGAGTGATATGCTAGGTAATATACAGCAGCAAGCCCCAACCATTTTGGCACCAGGAACCAGTTTCATGAAAGACAGTTTTTCCACAGAGGGTAGGAGGAGATGGTTTTGGGATGATTCAAGCACATTACCTTTATTTCTATTAGTATTACATTATAATATATAATGCAATGATTATACAACTCACCATAATATAAAATCAGTGAGAGTCCTGAGCTTGTTTACCTTTAATGAGAAGGTCCCACCTGGGTGTAATGGATGACAGTGATGGATCATCAGGCATTAGATATCATAAGGAGCATGCAACCTAGATCCCTCCCAGTGCAGTTCACAATAGGGTTCACACTCCTATGAGAATCTAATGCTGCCACTGCTGATCTGACAGGAGGCAGAGCTCAGGTGGTAACGCAAGCCATGGGGAGCAGCTGTAAATACAGACGAAGCTTCCCTGGGTTGCCTGCTGCATAGCCCAGTTCCTGACAGGCCATGGCCTGTAGCCTGGGAGTTGAGGCCCTCGCATACAGAATGAATTTAAAGATAAATAGAGCCATGACACATATGAGGAAGTTATTGCAATGATAGTGACCGATGTTTGGAGAAGAGTATCATTAGTGACTGGCAAGAAATGAATGGATTACACAACTGTTTAGCAGACAGTATCTTCCTAGATTGCCATCGTGATTCCGTATCAGAGTGAAGCAGGCAATAAGTGGTAACTAAGGAAAACTTGTCATTTCAACAGGGAACCTTTTCAGTCAGATTATTGATGTATTTGCAAATTTCCTTTGAAGATCTATTTGTCCTCAAGAAAAGGTCTTTAGCTTAAACCTGTATCCCTGTATCCTAATCTAATTCCAAACATATTTAAATACAGTAACTGAGAAACTCATATCCTAGTCTTTTGGTTCATATTTGGTGGTAATTGTTAGGGTTCATTAGAGACATATGTTTAAATCAAACTCTGACTCTAAAAGTGAGAATGCATAAGGTAAATTTTACCAATTTACTGATGAGCGTGGAAATAAATTAGAATGATGGAAAACAATATATTAAGCAAGTGCTTTTATAAAATTATTCCTGACATGTTTGAGATAAATGATCCTGCCATTGAATCCTTCCTTCATTTTAGGGTTCTTAGTGACCACTTATTTCAGTTAGCTCCATGAAAATGAGTTTTGCTGTTCCTGTTAGTCAGCACAAAATAAAAATGATCATAAATCTTTTATAAAGATGAGGCTTGCATTAAAAAGAAAATCTAATTGAAAGTTGCTTTAAATTTTGAGTGATTAATTTCGTGTCAAATAAGTCATTAGAAATCGTGATAGCTATAAAAAAGCAATCATTTGCAAAATTGGAAAAAGCTAAATTCAATCTAGATACACTTTTCTACTTTTAAAATTTGTATATTGGGAGAGATACAATATAGCAATTGTGGAATTTTAATGTAATAGCCTGTTACTATAGGTAGTTTGTACATGTGTGCTGTTGGGCTCTCAACCAACTAATTACTTTCCCTCTGGATACTTCTATTTCAGGTGATCATCTATATTATATTTGGTTGGTGCAAAAGTAATTGCGGTTTTTGCCATTACTTTTAGTGTTTCTCTTGTTTCTTGTCTAATAATAATATATCTACTTAATATCATTTCAAACAGAAAACAAAGATTAGGTTTTTTTATGTTTTGGGTTTTAACAGATATATATATACACACACACATATAAAAATATATATTTAACATTTTTATACATACATATATATGTATATATATTTTTAAAAATAGGCACTATATACCTGTGTAGTTAAATACTAAGAGCTAAAGCTCATGGCCCCATTTTATGAAAACAAAGGGTGCAATCTAGGAACTGTCTCCCTAAATATCTGTAATGTACTCCAAATGAAGTAAAAGTAGCTCTCCAGTAACCAATATTGTTTATCCTACAGCTCTTGTATTTTTAAGAGTGGACATAATAGGCTAAATTTGGAGAGGTGATTGTATTTGAAAGATAAAAATGTCTGCAGGTCAGCCGAGCGTCGTGGCTTATGCCTGTAATCCTAGCAGTTTGAGAGGCTGAGGCAGGTGGATCACCTAAGGTCAGGAGTTCGAGACCAGCCTGGCCAGCATGGCGAAACCCCATCTCTACTAAAAATATAATAAATTAGTCTGGCATGGTGGCAGGTGCCTGTAATCCCAGCTACTTGGGAAGCTTAGGCAAGAGAATTGTTTGAACCCAGGGGGACAGAGGTTTCAGTGAGCTGAGATTGTGTCACTTCACTCCAGCCTAGGCAAAAGAGTGAAACTCTGACTCAAAAAAAAAAAAAAAAAAAGTCTCTAGGTCTAGATCCGTTGGTGCAAGACATCTTCCATGAAACTGCTTTTCATTATGGGATGTACATAAAACAAATTAAATATGTAATGATGTAACATAAAATCACTTTTGATTTTTAATCCAATGAAATCTTGACATAACATGCTCTACTATTTTTGGAGGAACTAGTCAAACTAAAAAGAACCTCAGAATAAGTTGCCTATCATCAAGACTGAACTGATTACTCAGTGGACAACTAAAATGCAGTGGTGATGTTAACTTTTTTCTTTTCACATACTTCAAACTTTTAATTACCAGAAAAAAAATATTATATTATTTAGTACTACCGAGGACTCAGGTTTTAAAAGCAAACTATAATAATTGTGGGGTAAAGTAGAAGCATCATTTTTGTTTTAAGTGAAAGACTCTTCATTTCACATTTACTATGCTACATATTATTGATTTTCTTCTCTGGTGTTGTTTTTTGCAGAGAGTGAATCTGTCCTTCGATTTTCCATTTTATGGCCACTTCCTACGTGAAATCACGGTAGCGACTGGGGGTAAGTGGTTTTCTACCCATTCACCTTAAGTAATCTATGGTTTGACTGCAGTTATTTTTAATGTACTCTATATTTCAAGATGGGTATTTATTGATAAAACCATTGTGTTTTATCACAAAGCCATAGGTATAAAAAAAACCAAACAAAGGGTATTGTTATTGGAAAACTTCTCAGCAGAAAAAAAAAGTATTTATAATAATTTTCAACCTAGATCACCTCTGCTTTTCTTCCAAATTTTAATTCCTTTTTGGTAGTTTGGTAAGACTGTCCACATGGCAGAAGTTGGAATAGAGCTAGAAAGAAAGGCTGCTTAATGAAGCTGCTGGTGATCTTAATTTTCTTTTAATGTATATATTTGCTATATATATGTACATATATATAAAATATGTAAAATATATATATAAACCTATATAATATATAAATATATATAAACATATAAAATATATGTACATATATATACACACATATGTATACACAAAAACACACAACCATATGCACATTAGCTTTGATCATTTTTTTCCTTGAGTGTTACCTATTTTGATTGACAACTCATTTGAGAGTCTTCAAATAAAGGCTGAAATCCAGCTCAAATGTTTTAAATTTTATTTTTCTCCACCAGCTTAGAGGTTAGTTTAGAGATTAGCAATATCCTAGCAAAGTAATTATCATTCTTTATTGTGTATCTCAGAAGTCAGAAATATTTTAGTCTTCAAGTGCTACTAGAAGCGATAAGCAAAATGCCAGGGAATATCCCTGTAGGCTTTATGATGCAGGGGTAGGGAAGAAGGAGAAAAACACATAAAAATGGAACAGTAAGTAAAGAAGAAATTAAAAGAAATTCTATAGATGTACAAAGAGGCTGTGAGCATCTATGCCCAAAGCACCATAGACAGAGTCTCTTTCCTTCACTGACTCTTACCAGGGGTCTTTTGGATGGTGTGGAAACCATGTTAAGCATCGCCATTTTTTTTTTTTTTTTTTTGCCATACTTTAATATAAGACCTAGAAGGTACTTAGGATTCAGAAGAAGAAGATTTGTAATCAGAAATATCAACAAGTAAATGGAAGTGTTTTGAGTACCTACTCTGAGTGATGGTAAATAAGTCTACCTCTGCCTTAGAGTTGTGTAGCTTAGCGAAATATTAGGTAAAGTGAAGCAGAATGTGAGGAATTGCTTAGGAAATATAAGTGATGAAATATGTCCAGGTGCAGTGGCTCACACCTGTAGTCCCAGCTACTTTGGAAGCCCAGGAAGGAGGATTGCTTGAGCCCAGGAGTTCCAGACAAGCCTGGGCAACACTGTGAGACCCTATCTCTACAAAAACATTTAAAAACTTAACCAAGCATGGTGGGGTGCTCCTGTAGTCCCAGCTACTCAGGAGGCTGAGGCAGGAAGACCACTTGAGGCCAGGAGTTTGAGACTGCACCGAGCTGTGGTCATGCCATTGCACTACAGCCTGGCTGACAGAGCAAGACTCTGTCTCTGAAAATAAAATAAATAAAATAAAATAATTAGCTGGTATGGTGGCATGCACCTGTAATCTCAGCTACTTGAGAGGTTGAGGCAGGAGGATCACTTGAGTCCAGGAGTTTGAGGCTGCAGTGAGCTATGACCACACCACTGCACTGCAGCCTGGGCAACAGAGAAAGACCCTATCTCTAAAGAAAAAAACAAACGGAAATCAGAAAAAGAAAATACAAATGATAAGCTATGGGTTTCCGGGGATGATGTAACTCAAACATCTCTGAGTCTTAAATGAGAGTTAAGACTACAGAAAAATTGGTGTTCAAAGTGTTTCTTGGATCTCCTCTGTGATTGACTAGACAGACGTCATAAGCAGATAGACCTATTTGACAGATGCTTGCCATCCTTACAAATCTTAAAAAGGTTCTTAACCAGAGAAGTCTTGGAAGGAAAATGGAAACCACGAGTTGACTGCAGGCCATTCTCAATAGACCTGGCCTGGGAGTTTTAAGTAGAAACACAAAGATGCCTCTTTTGTTGACTATCAGTTCTTTTTGTGTTTACAAATTCCTCTTGAACCTGTTTCTACATTGGGTGTGAGAAAAATTAAAGTGATATGTTTTCATGGTGAATCCAAGCTGTGCTAATAAATAAAGGGAATGCTTTAAACCATAATCCTCTTCATCTTACTTCATGGTTTTGCCATTTCCCATATTTCCTTGAAATCTCTCCATCTCTTTCCACACAGACACAAATTTAACATTGAAATTAAGTCAAGATAATGTCTCATCTTATTGCTAAGATCAGCACAACTTAAAAATGGAAAGTTGTTTAACAATATAGACATATGCATAGTTTACCATGGCCCCTCTTTGTATATGTATTTTACTGTGAATGAGCTTAAGTTTCTAGTTTAAAATGTGAATTACAGCTAAAACATCTGGTCATTTATCTTATAAACTATAAAAATAAAATCTTTGCTTATTAAACATTTTAATATTCAAAAGCTTCAATAATCCATATGTACAATGGAATTGGAAATATCATCTATTTTCTGGTTCACTGATAGTGGAATCTGAAAGCATTCATTTATCTTTCTATATAAAAAATACTTCAGAATACAAATATTTCAAGCACTAGAAAACTAGTTCTCTGTGAATTTCATCAAAACAGTTTCATTAGTGATACCACCAAGATGTGTTTTTTTGCATATCACACTGCATTATTTTCTTTCTATTTGAATATTTTAATTGGTTCTTTTTTATTATTAGCCTGCTAGTGTGATCTTTTAAATGTTCGAAAATGTAGATTTAAGTTTGAGGATTTGATTTGTAATCAAATAGCTATCCTAGGAATGATATTTTTACCTGAGTCCGTCATGGGTACCATTACGGTGATGAGATGGGAGTATGTGAGATGGGTTAATTACTACTTTATGTAATGGGGAAGAGAAGATATACACGTTATACAGATAATTTTGGTCCCAGTATGTAAGTATGTAGAGAGATGGTGATTCTTAATTAAGGTAATATGGGGAATTGTGGGAAGTTGGACATGAAACTGAAAAGCAAAAGTGATATGAATTTAAAAGCTAATAATGAATGTGTATTACTTACCTTGATCATAGAACAATTTGCCTTCTCTTTCTACACAGGTTTCTACTTACAGATTTCATAAGAAAGCAGTTTAAATTTTAGCTCTATTTTATTTCATTTGCTACGTAAAATACTAAAATGTTTATTAAGTAATATATTTACATATCTGAAAAACTAATAACGTGGACATTTAAAAAGTGAAACAGACAAAAGTAAAATGTAAATCTCCCTTCTTCCTTTGCCTCTTAGCTCACCAGTTTCCTGCCCAAGAAAAAAATATCTTATTTTTTGAAGTATGGTATATTAAAATTCAAACTTGGAGTAGTTTCCTGTATCTGGCCAATAATCATTAGGTTTTTTTTCTGTTTAAATTCCCACTAAGAGAGATTTTTAAAAAATAATAATGCTTGTTATCTTCATTAGGTTTTCAGGAAGTATATTACTAAATCTCCCAGCTCCTTCTTTGTTCTGGCTTTCAAGTGGTAATATTTTAATTGTAGTCCCAAATAGTATTTCATACTCTTTATAGGGACTTGATTAATAACAGGAATAAAAGTCTTTTTAGGAGAGGAAGAGAGTTAGTTATTACTCATGATGATTGATTTGTAAATAACAACCACATCTTCTTTCAAGTGTATAACCCCATGAAACAAAGCGTGGTGTATCCATTAACTTTCTGCATCTAGGGAGAAGGTGAATGGAGTTTTTTTGTATTATTATCATTATAAACAGAGATCACAGGTTATGGTTATCTGAGATCTATGCATGAATGGAAGATACTAAAGAGATAGATGCTGGATGAAAGTAAATCCATTCCAACTGGCTTCAATAATTTAAAGTTACAAGCTCAAGTCTCAAGGATTCCTAGACAGAGAGATAAATTGGGTGATGTCTAATCTACTGCATCTAAATAATTCTCTGAGATAGACCTCCAAAACCCTGAGAGTTCATCTGAGCTGTCTTCTTTGATAATTTACTCCTCCCTCAAACTGTCTAGTGTCAGCAGTAGATTCAGTAGCTTGACCATTATTATATATGTATGTATTTATTTTGTAGACAGGATCTTACTCTGTCACCCCAGCTGGAGTGCAGTGGCACAATCCCAGCTCACTGTAGCCTTGACCTCCTGGGCTCAAGTGATCCTTCCACCTCGGCTCCCCAAGTAGCTGGGACTACAGGCATGCACCGCCATGCCTGGCTAATGTTTAGATTTTTTTGTAGATATGCGGTCTCACTATGTTGCTCAGGCTGCTCTCAAACTCCTAGCCTCTAGCAATCCTCCCATCTCAGCCTCCCGAAGTGCTGGGATTACAGGTGTGAGACCCTGTGTCAGGCTATATTGTTTTGTCCTTCACGAATTGCATATTCACAACCACTTTTGTTTCTCCTGCATGTCTGTTCATACATGCTTTATTTCATTAGCACTGGCTCCTTGCGGCAGGGGTGGGAAGCATAATTGGAAATTAAGCCATTAGGAGACCCAGAGAGGAAGCACCCAGGAGCAAGAGTTGACTCAATAGGAATCAGCAAGAAAAATACAAGAGGCAGAAACATGGGTAGAATGAAGGAGGGCCATTAGACGTAAACAAGAGAGAGCAGAGCATTGGCATACGATGGATAAGTCATGATTGGAGGACAGGAATGGGGGAGGTGGATCAGCTGAGACGAGGGTGTAGGTAAAAACAAGGTCTCCAGGTTCATCCCCTTCCATTGCCATAACGGCCACTGAAGTGTCCACTGATTGCTAATGCTAGAATACTCCGCTAGGGATGTTTATACCAGGAAAACATCATTCATCTTCTTGCAGCAGATCCAGGCTTTCTTGGAAACACTGGCAGTAATATTTTTGCTTGTAGCCTTTCCTAGTCACTGCAGCAGTAATTCAGATAAATAGCAATTTTACACAGATGCTTAAATACATCACCCAATTTAAAATAAAG